CGTCATTGAGACGTCTCAAAGCGCTTCACAGAATAGGCTGTAAAGTTAATTGACTGTATATTTTGTGGGCGAAACCCGGCAGCCAATTACGCGCAGCAGCGTCCCCGCAAACAGTCGTGGATTCAGTGACCACGTGTTTTTTTTTAGGGATTATTATTCCCGGAAAGCGATCCGCCAATCGTCTAACAACTGAGTCCCTACTAACTGCTCGGTAAACAGAGGCGTGTGGAGTAAGGAAAGTTGCCAAAGTAAGGAAAGTTGAGAGGAGCTTTGCTGGTGGCATGTCACAAACCATCTCTTACAGGTTGAGATATAAAGTAGTACTTGCTTTTCCTTTCTGAAATGTGTTCTGAAGCATTCTACAAACTCGGTCTTGCTTCAAGTTACAGATTGCACAAATACTTGTAAGGTTATGCCCTACAAGTAATCCTTCTGGTTTCGAGTCAGAGTTTAAGAATTCAATTCCAACGTTGATGCTTCTGTATCTGTCTGTTGGCTTCGTCACTGTGTCTGCAATGCATGTGGCGCCGATTATTTCGGTGGTTAGTAAATGTCACACATTTCAGGTATTTGCACGAGGTTTGGGGAGCATTTCACCGAGCAAAAACAATGGAAATCTTCATAGCAGTAAGTAAGGAATTGAGACCGACCGCCAGTATAATCATTCACCTTGGTAAATTATTAAGTTCCCTCGAACCAAGTTACGTTTGGCAATTGGTGAGCCTTAATGTTCAATTTTGTTTCACTTGAAGGGTGTTCGTGTTGGAAATCTTTTCTAAAAAAAAATGGCTCGCCTCGGGAGACTGAAAATCCATGGAGCTTTTAGAATCAAATTAATCATCATTAATTGATCTACATTAAATTAATCAACATTCCCCCCCCACACCCCACTCCCAACCCACGCCCCCGATTTTATGGTCTCATTTCATTGTACTGTTGCTCTTTACCAATCAGACAAACTCAGATTGACTGTTAAGTTTCTTTTGCTCTTGAACATTGTAACATTGCTGAATCCATTAAGAATTATTATTATTATTATTATTATTATTATTTGCTGTAGTTTCTCTCTCTCTCTCTCCCTCCCTTTAGATCTATTTGTCATTCTCTTGAGAGCTATTTGCAGTTATTAATTTTCTTTCCTAACTCGTCAGACATAATTTTCCTGTGTTATTTTTTCTTTCCTCTCTGTCTCTGTCTCTCTCTCTCTCTCTCTCTCGGTTGATTGTTCCTCGTATCCATTTTCCTGTCCTTCATCTGATCCCCTTGAATAAGTCTTTCTCTCTTTTATGATCAGTCGTAAACTGAAATCCGCAAATGATATTCCCCTATCAAGGCCACTTCTCTTGGGCTGCACCATTTGCTGCCTGATTCCACAAGATACACAAGGTTAATTCAGATGTACAAGGCCCTTTGTCTCACCTGATCTCATCCTTCCAGAAAACCCACGTACGGTAGATTTTCCTTTTTACAAGGGCCAAAGTTACAAGACTCTGAAATTAAAAGGTGTGCAGAAACGTGGCTTTGTGTTTTTTTGGGTGGGGGGCTGTGGTGGGGGGGGGGAGAGGGGAGACGAGGCCTTAAGTTTGCATTTGAGCTGAAAAGGACTGGAAAGAAAATGCTAAAAAGTTACTTATTGCAAATCACTGTCCATTTTATACGCGAGCAAATGTAGCTTGTGATATCTGTCAAGAGAGGTGTTTAAGGACAAGTAGACGGATATTTGGGTATGAGAGGTATTAAAGGGCATGAGACAGTTCCAGTGATAAGTTAAACCGGAGTGGGGTTATCAGTTTGCTGTTATAATAATAATCATCATCCTTGGATAATTAGTGACTGGATAGAATTACTTACAGTTAGTAGCCACGAATCGGCTGGCAGAAAGAAAAATGAGGACCGTTGGCCCATTTAAAGTTATTTCTAGAGATATTTAGTCTGGAGACCTTTGTTTGATCCACTTATTTACCGGTGGCATTTATAATAGATAGCATTGGTATATGTGCTCAGCGTCCCTGTCGACCTTACTTTAAAAAAATGAGTTTAAAAAGTTTTGCTGATGACATTACTGTGGAGTCCTGCAGCTCAGTGGTTAGAGCACTCGCCTCGCAAGCGAGAGGACCTGGGTTCGGTCCCTGGCAGGCAGAAATGTTGGGCAAGTTTCCTTACCCTGATATCTAGCAGTAAGTAGGAACTTGGTTGTTAGTCGATTGGCGGATCGCTTTTCCGGGGGTAATAATTCCTTAAAAAAAAGAAGTCACTTCAATCCACGACTGTTTGTGGGACGCTGCTGTGCGCAATTGGCTGCCGTGTTTCTCCCACAAAATACGCGGTCGATTCACTTTACAGTATATTCTGTGAAGCGCTTTGAGACGTCTCGAAGACGTGATAGGGCGCTGTATGAAATGCAAGGATTATTATCATTATTATTAAAGTTCAATTTGGTTTTTCAGAGAGGATATACATCTCTGGAAATGCACTCCACTTTTTTCTGCAAAAAAGTTTCCCATTGCGGAACAACACCTATTTCTTTTTCTCACAGTATTTGGCAGTAATAATAATATAATAATACTAATCCTTGCACCTGATATAGCGCCTTATCACATCCTCAAGAAGTCTCTCGCTTGTGAGGCAAATGCTCTAACCACTGAGCTACAGGACTCCACTAATGACTAATGGAACATAACCAGTTCTAAAATGCTATTGATCAAGATTATGCGCCTAATTATCGGGCAGAGCCAAATGATCTCTGGCAGAACTTTTATATTCACTGAGAAACTTTGTGAAGGAATGTCAGATAATTGATGCCGAATAAATTAATAGACCCATTTTCAAATGAATTCTAATTTATGTTCACTGACAAGGCTGAAGGGTAGAAGTGAAGCGGTAGATATTAATGCGGTTGCAAAGCCTGCTGTAATTTCTTTGCTGAAATCCCATGTAACATCACAGTGATCCTCATTATTTTAATTGATTATTAAAGCACTCTGGGACGCTATCCTGTGCGAGACAGGGACGCGCTATAAATGCAAGTTGGTGTTGTTCTAAGATAGCAGTGAAGTGTTTTTCATTTGCACTTTAATGCTACGCAAGTTCATGTCGATAACAGCAACAACAACAAATTACATTTGTACAGCGCCTTTCACGTCAGGAGGAGGTCCCAAGGTGCTGGACAGTCAAGAGTTTGGACACGAGCCAGGGGTTGGGAACATTATCGTTGTCTAATATTTAGTATCACAATATTTTCTAAAAAATACTATTTAATAATTATTGGGGTCATTATTATTGTCAGGCGTTTAATATTTCATAATTGTGACCCAATAATTAATATCAGCCCCTTGAAACACGGACCTTGCTTTGCCGCTGAAAACATCATATGTCTGTCATATCCCGGGCATCATCTTATGCAGATTGGGAAGAAACGCGGGTGATTTCAGCAGCACAGCTCCGCGCTCAAACCGAATTCACTGACAGAATACTCGTCTGATTTGTTCAGAATAAAATGCAGTCTGTTTATTCCAGTAAAACTGACAGCGCATTCTTCAGCTGCATTCTGTCCAGATCCTTCTAATAAACGTAAATGAATATCTTTGCGTCACAGTTGGCCGTGATGAAGTGCTGCCTATGGATGCAAACAAAAGAAATACCAGCTGTTTTTGAGCAAATGAAGTGACAATAAATTGGGGCGTGTTACTGCTTTCGCAAGTTGTTCTGCTTCGTTGGTGTTTGACTTGGCGCTTTTCACGTCGGGAGGACGTGTGGAGGACGTGTCGAAGCACATTCACAGGACAGGAGTAAAAGGTAGTGACAGTGTATTTTGTGGGTGAAAGCTGCTGGTAATCTGCGCGCAGCAATATCCCACAAACAGTGATGAAGTGAACGACCAAGGTACGCAGTGCGATGAGTGCAACAAGTTACTAAAGGCTCAATAAACACACTTTCAAGATTGCAGAGCTTTGGTTTGGCAAACACTAGTGAATCCAGTCCAGGTAAGTACAAATCGCCCGAGGTATGATTTTCTCAGGGGCAATAGAAAATTGACCACACTCAGCTCACTGAGGTCATGTGGGCTTGTTGACTTCTTGTTTTGGACCCAAGGACTTTGTTGGGGTCAAACCTTCTGAAATGAGTATCTCCAAGAATGTTACTTTGTCCACGTATTCGTGATGTGCGCTACTTTCAATCTGAACCGTTTCGCCCACAAAATACGCAGTCAATCCGCTTAACAACGTATTCCGCGATGTGCTTTTTAGACGTCTCAATGACGTGATCAGGCGCTACCTCAAATGCAAAGGTTATTATTGTCAAATGTTCCAAAGTGGTGCTGAATGGGCCCCATCCTTTTGCTGAAAATTTCTGTTTCTGTGAAGGCGTATTCGGTGGTCTTGCTTGAAACCCCTCAGGGATACGACCAGGAACTTCATTAATATGTAAATTAAGTTGAAATAACTTGGATAGATATGCAGCCACTGCCGTTACAAGTTTCCCCCTTGGGCACTTAGCGGCAATTTGAAGCAGCTCCAGTGCTCACTGAAATGAATATTGTGCAAAGTTAAATTTCCCTTAATTTATGGATTGAAACTGACCCCCACCTCTTCCATATCACAGTCCATCTCAAGAATCCAGCATCCACTCTCAGGCTCCAGCATTGTCCTGTGACATCCTGTCAGGATATACTCCTTCGCAGGAGAAACTCCCTCCTCTTTTCTCATAGTGCCACAGAATTCGTATCACCCGTCTGAACAGCCAGTGTAACATTGGAAGGAACGGGAACCGGATGTGAACGGAAATAAAAAGTGATTAAGAACTGGTGTAAGAAAAAGATGCACAGATTTCAGACTTACTTGGCCCTTTTAGAAGTAAATGCTCTACATTCTTCACACAGGTGACCGTAACTTTGTTTGATGCCGCAGTAATTTTATTGGGTGTGTAACATTACTGCCGATTGGTACGTAGGTCATATTGAAGTGAATAAAATAATAATGCTACTCTTTTTCTTGTTTCAGGTGAAACTTGCCAAAGTTTTATTGACCTCGCTCCAGCATCAGAAAGAGGTAAATCACAAGTGGATGTTTTTAAACCAAGTGACTTAGGCTTTTCATTGTTACTGATCTAAGTGAGGGAACACTGTTTGCGGCAGTAATATTTATAGGTTCGACATACTGACGCTCACATAGTTCCTTACCACAAAGGAACTTGGGAAGGAAGTTAGAATGATGGAACTTTACAACAACAACTTGCACTTGTGTACAGCCCAGGGGAGGGTCTCAGAGAGCTGAACAGCGGCAGAAATCGAAACGTGAGACACGAGTGCTTTTTCGTTTTGTTGCTGGTGTTGCAGAGTTTAATTTAACATCATTCGAATCTGTACGACAAGCTCGGTTAATTCCGATTTCTTTTTTTTTTAAAAAATCCCATTCCGCGAACCCATCTGCTCGATCGCTTTGTTCTCCAGGCAGAACCTGCCAACGTGGTCTTAATTCCCCCCCATATTTCAAGACGACTCCATATCTTTCTACATGACAGTCAATAATGTTCTCGCTTGCCAATAATTCTGATGCATTAACTGACATATGACAGAAAGGGGGCAGCTGGTTTATGCAACAAAGCTCATTGTCCCCGTTGCTGACAGATGCACTGTCGGGAAGGGATTACAATTAAAAAAATAAATTGAAAAGAGTTCAACTTGTGGGAAATATACACAAGACATTGGCTCTTCTTTTTTTCTCCTCTACGACACCTTCTAGAACGGAGTTTCGAAAGGGAAGGTTGTGGTTAAAAGCAGCGCTCCGACTCTGACCTCGCTAATGGATAACTTTGATGTGACAAAAAAAATACAGCACCTGCATAATGTCGATAGGGATTACAATTTCACCGCACGATTGAAATTAAAACTGCTTTGATATTTGCTGCCCGAGTTTCACTGTTTGGCTTTCCCCATCTCGGAATAATTTTCAGACCTCAAGAATCTGAAATACCGTCACAACAGACAACAAAGGCAGAGAGCGTGTGGGATGGGGGGGGGGGAAATCTGAAACTATTTCAACATGCCCAACCGATGCATTAAAAAATAGTCCCATCACCTTCTTTATGCCTTTCGTTTTAATCCAAAACAAAGCAAAGGCGCTTGAACTCGATAAATTGATATGAAACAGACGACTTGAAATCATAAGCAAATTATGCCCCCAAAAAAGCAAGACAGCATATTATTCCTGTAATGACAAATGCCTGACTTTGGTTCCCACTGCTGGAAAGCTTTGAAATTGAATCATCTTGTATCACAAAGCTGTTTTCGCTGTTTGGCCTCCAGGGAGTTTCATAGTTATTGAAATTTATTTGTTGCAAGTTTGGCTCCCAAGGCAAACAAAGTCAGTGCGACTATCAATTATTTCCTGCCTGTGCTGAACGAGTTCTATCCAGAGATGCCTTTCCTTGTGTAACCCTGATTAAATTAAACCTAATCACTTCTCTGTAACGTCTGCATTAAAAAAAAGGAAAAGGCAGTCATCTGCTAATCACTTTACAGCGTGTCCTGTGAAGCGCTTTGAGACGTCTCGACGACGTGATGAGGCGTCATATCAAATGCAAGGATTATTATTATTATTATCAGAATCCTGGATGTTGGCCATTGAAGTAATTAATTTTCTGCCGGAGCTCTTCCAACGACAAACTTCTTAGGTGGAATTCAGAAAAGGCTCCACATGAAATTTGGACTTTATTAGCATAAGCGAGGCTGTGTTTGTACAAGAGGAAGTGCCAAACTCCTGAGCCAGCTGTAGGTTATCCCTTCCAAGAAGTTCAAAAAAAAAAGCAATTAAGTAGAGAACCAATGAAATAGAACAACAACAACAACTTGCACTTGTACAGCACTCTTGATTCAGGGTATGGTCCCAGAGCTCTTGACAGCGGCGGCGCGTGTATAAAAGGATATGTCGCCACGGTGTGGGTTTGTGACATGTGTGGTATCCAGTGCTCCGGGGGACACTGCTCTGCACGACAGGCACTTTATAAGTGCAATTTGTTGTTTACAGTTGGACTAGAAAAATAAAGGAGTTTCTTAGTACCCCTGTGTTCTGGACTGAGAATCGTGACCCTTTCATTACACTCAGTGCGAAAGCCTCATACTTTTGGAAGTTAAGATTGCTGATGTGGGAGGGGCTCGATCTCATACCAATGCGTTTTAAAAAAGGGTCGGGGATATTTTCAAAATGCGTTCAGTCAGGTAGAATCAGGTAACCTGAATATCTTGTGTTGCGAGTGCAGAGGAACTAACGTAGCTGATTTCTGAACGTTATGCCCCGTTGTGTTTGTTATTTAAAAAAACAGGGGGGGGAATTCTTGCAAGATTCGGTCAGTGCCTTGAAGCATCTCAAGAAATGTTGTATTCTCATTTGATTTTATAATGGTCTGTTTTTTGCGTGTAGAAAATATCAGTTACCAATGAGCCGTTAAGTTGCCACGACACATCTTAGTCTACAAAATACACCGTCCACAAAATATAGTCAATTCACTTTATAGTATAATCTGTGAAGCGCTTTGAGACGTCTCGAAGACGTGATAGGGCGCTATATCAAATGCCAAGGTGGTTCTCATGAGTAGTAGTATTAATGCTTGTTTCTGATCAGGATTAACGGATTAACCCAGGCAGAGCAACACACAACAACAACAACAACAAAATTACATATACACAACGCAACACAACACAACACAGGGCAAATTTGCTCTTTCGGGCCTTTAACCCACTTGAGACTCCTCTCAGAGAGTGTCTCCTCTATTGCAGGTGTCCTGTGGCTGTCAGTCATCTCCGAAGTCCTATACATTGTACTCTTAGTTGTTGGCTTCAGTCTGATGTGTCTGGAGCTCTTCCATTCAAGCAATGTGATCGATGGGCTGAAACTGAACGCCTTCGCTGCTGTCTTCACTGTTCTATCAGGTATGTACGACTTCACTTTTCTTTAACACTGACAATCTCCCCTTGACCAAGACACGCTCAGGATTTCTTTCAGAAATGTCAGAAGCCCTTGAGCACCAGATACCAGTGACCTGCCTCTGATCTTTCACTCAAGTGAATGAACAGTAACAGGCAGCCAGTGGCATGGACACGGAAGGTCATTCTACAAAGGTACCTTATTTTTTAATGCATTTCTGCAATGAATCACAAGACACGAGTCTTTAAGTGTTAATTAACTGGAGCTAATGTATTCCTCCAGTAGTATTGCAAATATCATTAATATCCTCATTAACAGAGTGTGGCAGTTTTTAACTGGGTTCATTTGATGGATCTGATAATCCTACAATTGCTAAGTGCAGTGGGGATGAGATCTTGTTGTTACTGTTATTATTATGAAGATTATTATTATTATATTTTTAGTGACCGAAATATACACAGCAATGTGCTCTCTCCTATATATATATTTGAACAACCGCAATGAAGGAAGCCTGTAATTACTGATCCTGTGGGTGGTGTAAAACAAAAAGGCCAAACGGCAATTTCAGAACACACATTGGGAAGGAGTTCTTTATTTGCAACTTGGGTAATTACTTTCCAGGATGGATGGTTGTTGCCTGGAAGCTGTGATACCGTGAATGTGAAGATAGTGAGACACATATTCCAGAAGGATGGGATCAAATGCACCCAAGGGCTTTCTTGATGTGATCCAGTCTTGTGATCAGTCAGTCATTCGCTTCAATACTGCTTTGTGGGACAATACTGTTGAGTTTTGCCTAAAAAACCCACACAGTCAAATAACAGCAATTACCCGCGAAGCGATTTGAGATGTTTCAATGTTATCGGTGCGATGTTAAAGGCAAGGATTATTATTATTTTTCAATAACCTGCTAGTCGCAATGCACGTGCTAGTTTGAAGTCAATCAGTGTGTTGGAGGTAATTCTCTGAGTATTATGGTATGTGTTTCTTACTTCTTTCCATGTTTGGTGACCGCTGAAATGGAGCACGTGCCCATTGTTTGGAATCTGCAGGTAGTACGGATGGACTTTCCACCACAACCATGATGGTTACCGATTGATTGTGACCCAGTGTGTCAATTAACACTGGTATTAACGCACCCCAGGAATACACAGGTCATTGCAATGTACAGCTCCATTCAGCCGGTACTGAAATGTACAAAACACACGCAATAACACTGTGCCAAGGAAATACGGTTGCGCCGTTTAAGTCAGTGAGGATCCACCCCAGAAACTATCGCTTTCATTAACAATTTGTGTCCTCTGTTTTTCTTATCTAAATACATAAGTAATGGGCGATTTTAAATTATGTAGAGAGCGACTCGAACAGGTGCAAAAGCTTTCTACTAAAAGAGTCAATTAGAGACATTGTTCAGAAACAGAAGCCAACAACAAATTAACTTAGAATCATCAAAGTAAATTATTCAAGCGTGAGAAAGTCCACAAATACCTCCACGAATGTGTAATTGAAAAACACACCTGCCACTTTGCTGTGTAATTAAACGTGCAGCTGCTGTGGAAAGAAATGCGGATAAAAGAACAATAATTGTATTTCTATTTTAAATCATACCGGAGTTATTTTTAAACCAAAGGAAGCCAGCATTTACCAAAAAATAAATTTTCTTCACATCTCGCTAAATGTGATTCAGTACGAACATGCAACGACGTCGGCGGTTTCACATCTCGGAAGGCAACCGTTGATATCACGTTTACACGTGGCGTATTTTTCCAGCTTAAGCGCTACCTCGCAACCTTTTTGTGCCTCGATAGCCGTAGCCCGAGGTCCCACCTGGGTGTTTGCTGGCGGAGAGTAAAGATTCCCTGAACCAACTGAGAAAGAGAGAGAAGTGAGGTTCTCCCAGTGTCTTAGCCCACATTCCCGCAGGTGACTGTACAGATTTACTGTACTGCAGTAACAACTGTTGCTGTTCCCCAGTCGTGCAGTTTCACGAAGTTTCGCCTTGGGACGTCCTCCCGACGTGAAAGGCGCTATACAAAACCCAACACCCACGTTCCTCCGCTGTCGCCTGTACCCTCATCCCTCATTTCCTTAAGCACCCCTGGGAACATTGCATCTGGTCCTGATGGATTGTAAATGTTTAAGTACTTTAGTTTCTAATGACCACTTCATTGACAACCTCCAATTAGCAAGAGAGAGACTAATGCTGACTCGGAAATTCTTAACTTAACCACTTGTTGCTCGAACATTTAACCGACCCACCCAGCAAAAGGTATGGCTCCGCACAATGTCTACTGTTAACTTGTAATGAGAGGTAAAATGTAAGTTACTTTTAAAGGCTATCCATTTTTAGCATTTCGCAGGAGGACAAATTTAGAGGGAACGGTTGATTCACAACAGTTTAAAATTTGCAAGCAAACTATTTTCGCACCATGTTTATAGAAAGTGGAATAAAGAGAGAAACTTTCGCAAAGTTCCTGTAGCTCAGTGGTTAGAGCACTCACTTCTCGAGCGAGAGATCTGGATTCAGTTTCCGGCCGGGTGAAACCTTGGGCAAGTTTCCTTACTCCACTCACCTGATAATAGTCCCTCAAGAAAACAAACAGTAATTAATTGATCTCTTCAATCCACGACTGTTTGTGCGACGCTGCTGTGCGCAATTGGCTGCTGTGTTTTACCCACAAGTATAGTCAATTTACTTAACAATACATTCTGTGAAGCGTTTTGAGACGTCTAGAAGACATGAAAAGCGCTATATCAGATTATTATTTTGTTATTATTTTATTTTGGGTTGGTAATGATATTGACATCGCTGACAGGTTAGGACGACACCTGGTAGTATTCATCTGGGCCTGAATTTCCATTTAGTTTTTACCATGCATTTTTTTTTACCAAGACCACTCGGTCTTAAACATGAGGAAGGTCGTGCAGAATTGTGAACTGTTCTTATGTTTTTGAGCCCGAATTTCCTGTTTATTTTTCGTGCACTTCTTCGAAATTAAGTTACTCTTAAAAATTTTCTGCAATTCGGTGCCATCTTAAATTTGAAGAGAAGATAGTCTCACGGACCAGGTGGAATTTCGGGTCTTCTGATTCCAGGTATTAATTACGTGGGAGATCTTTGGAGCCAAACTAAATCGCAATCGAGGTCCATGTGGTCTGACAACTTAATACATTTCTTATCGATGAGAGGCAGAGGCTATCCAAGGAGAGACCTTCCACTGTGCTTCTCAATCACGGAAAAACGTAGCGACGTTGAGCCTGATGTGAACCACCATTTAATTTTTACTTCAATTCTTGATATGTGTGATGAGCAAACACAATAGCCAGTAAAAGTTTCCGTGGTAATAGCAGGGGGCGCCTTTGTATGACCTGCTGGTTAAGTTTCAATGAACATCAAATGTGTCATTCGAAAGTTATCAGAAGAAACCTCTAAAACTAATCCAGAGTGAAATTAAAACGGGTTTGCCACGGCCCTGCCGAATGCTCAAGCGTTAAAAGGAACTTGTAGTTTGGGAATTAGAGGTGTCACCTCTCAATAGGTCAGAACATTAGTCAAGTCTGCCCCAGATGGTAAGTGACAGAAAATAACATTCTTCATAGTCCAAACTATAACCGCTCAACGGTACTTTCTTTACATCAAATAGGTTCACTTTTAGGTCCAAAAAAAAATGAGCGAAAATTACCTTTCTTTTTTAATGAACTGCAGTCATTCGATTGTCAAGCAGCTTTTTTTCATGATTAATCGCTGGGGGGGGGGGTGAAAAAAACCTCGCAAGCCCAGCAATAGTGTGGCGGTGTGAGTTACAGCTCCTGTCCTTCTAATCCTCCGGACCTAGGCATGAATCAAAATATACTGACAGGGTGAAAATCTCTCTGTGCGAGCTTGAAGGGGTGCTGTGTGAAATGACACCGGCAAGTCTTGATTTGAAATTGTCTCCGTTCTTTCCTTTTCCCTTGACGGGCAGTGACATTTTCTGTAGAAATGTTTCACAGGCAGCTCCATAGAACTTCAACCAACTGACTGCTCTTCTTGTGTGACCTCTGGCTGATTCGATGGCTATTACTGTGGGGTGGGGAGTAGGGGGGGGTGGGAACAGTGATCTGTGCACAATTCACAATTCCAAACATATCCGTCCTTCGGATGAGCTGTAAAACCAAGGTCCTGTCTGCTTGTCCAGGTGGACTCTAAAGATCCCATATAATAATAATAGTCCTTGCATTTTATATAGCACCTTATCACGTCTTCAAGACATCTCAAAGCGCTTCACAGAATACACTGTAAAGTGAATCAACTGTATATTTTGTGGGCTTATATCCCATGGCACTGCTCGAAAAGAAAAGGGAGTTTCTCCTGGTGTCCTGGCCGACAATCACCCAAAATAAAATTGGTCACTCATCCGTCTGCTGCGTGTAAATTGGCTGCCTCGTTCTCCCAGAAAACCACACACTCACGCCACTTTGCACTGTGTCCCGTGAGGCACTCTGAGACATCTCAACGATGTTATAAGACGCAATCATCAAATGCCAGGATTATTATTAGTTATAGAAAACTGGTGAAAGGAATGAACCTGGAAATGTTCCCACATGTGACAAAACCTATTTGCTGGCTGCTGCGGTTTTGACATACATACTGATGATATCAAACAGGAGCTTCACCTCTTGCTATTTAGTGCGGTCCCCTGTTGAGAGTTTACAGTGAAAACAAGAAAACTTGGCAGTGGCTGTAGGGAGACAGCAACTATTAGTAGACCAACTACCTACAAATCAATAATGAACGGGACAGTGGATGGATTCGGAAAGAGTTTCTCTGACCGAAATCAGCTGAGCCCTGTTTACCCACTTCACTTCTGCTTGCTTCAGAGATCTGCATTTTGAGCTCCAGAGAGGAGCTTCCAAACTCAAAATTTCTCTGCGGAAAAAAGACGCCGTATAAAAATAAATCGATTGTCGCAAGACTGAAGCAAGGTGAGCACTTTTCATATCTCACGTTAGGTCTTATGCACCAGTGTGAATTTGAGACCAGCAATAAGCTTTTTGGGGGCTGAGTTGGGCTGTAGCCAATTTGTGCGCTGGTGGCAACAGAAGACCATTTTTTGTTTGCAGCTTAAACATCATCTCCTCATTCACGCAGTTGCTCTTTTCCATGGGGGGGGGGGGGGGGTGGGGCACAACTACAACAACAACAAGATTGCATTTATAAAGCACCTTTCACGTCGGGAGGACGTCCCAAGGCGATGGACAGTTGGGGCAGGACCCGAGCAGGGGGGAAATGGTCAGGGTGAGGGGAGGCAAGGGGAGGGAAGGGAGGGAGGGAGCGAGGAGGGGGTAAAGAGTGAGAGGGGAGCTGAAGGCACGGTTGAAGAGAAATTAGGAGAATCTGCCCGATTTTGCGACCAGCCATAAATGAAGACTAAATTACTATGGAAGTGTGTGCGGGGGTGGGGGAAATGTGTAAGTATCGTGCTGTCGCGGAAAATCTTTCTGAGTCTTGTGACACAGTCACACACATAACTAGGGACTTGTGTCACATGATTGCGTGATCGGAGAGTATGAGCGGTAAAGTGACCTACATTAAGGTCCATTAGCAAGAATGAATGTTACCGAGGAAGTCTTTGAAGAGAGATTGAAATGTCTGCAACAACACTGTGTGAAGATGTACTATTGGCAGGAGGTTACTGATTCTGCCGTTTGGCGAATAGGAGACTTGGCATGAGCAGCGTTCATAAAAAGCAAGTAACCCTTAGAAACAGAATAAATGCTCAGTCTCCATAATGAAATCGAATTACACAAGCGCTGATAACAAGCCGGAGTCATCTTTATGTCATTGAGTATTCAGAGCCTCAGATTCACTTGAGAATCCGTGTCGATGGAGCCCGAGTTCTTCTGTAGAGAGAGAGAGAGAGAGAGTATGTGAGGAGACGGTAACTTTAGCAGAAGGTTCACTTATGTAATGAAACAATACCGTGTTCAATTTAGTGTTTTCACAAGATCATGTAGATTGGTTTGGATGGAGAAGACCCTTCTTCAACTCGTCTGATCTCATCCCTCCAGAAAACCCACCCTCCCATCCTCCCAATCACATCATCAGGCTGTTTTTTTTAAGTGTGTCCAAGGTTTTAGCTTCAATTACCCTCCCTTCGTTGCAACTTTCACTGTTGTTAATTATCCTCTGCCCGTCTGTCTTGACATTGGCCTTTGCACTTTAAACCTCGCATTCCAAACCTTATTCTACTCTTGTGGTTCACCCTAAAGTATTCTAGTTTACTTTTCCAATCCTATTTAAAATGGTGTAAACCTACCTCTACAAGGTCCCCTCTGAGTCATCATCTCAAGAGCCCTCATTCTACTTATTTCTTCCACTCTACCCTATAAAATAAATCTATTCGATCTATCACTCTCTCACAGCGAAGTTCGTAGAGGAAAGCTAACAATTGCTCATGTTTCTGGTATTAAGAATCGACGTTCCACACTTAACATTTCTATAACATTATAGGAAGGGGAACCAGTAAATAATAACATCGTGTTGTGCTTATAAAATTAATCTTGATGTTTTTCCTCAATTTTATGCATGTCACTGACCTACATGATATTGCAATGTTACTGACCTGAGGAGTTGTCCATGTATTGAACCCAATTCAAGGGGGAAATCTCCATCTGAGTCTAAATTTACTCTATTAACGTAACATTTCCGAGCATTCAGAAGTCAGCAGATTCATCAATACAGCTTTAGTTAGTGAACAGGTTTTCTTTTACTTAGAAAGAAAACTGTATTAAGAAATACAGGAAAACAGATTCAAAGATGCACCTGAATTCAACAATTTTCCCAAATTGTGGATGATGAGAATGGCTATTTTATTATAATCAGTGCTAATGAAAGGATTATTTATAAATCTAGACTCAGATGAAGTTTTACCCCCATCCAGACGGTAAATAATGTTCTTATTCCACACCTACCGAAGTTTTAACTTTCTCATTTCCAAAATTTTAGTCATGAAGGGCAGGAAGAAGGGATTGGGATGACTGTACTGTACATACACAGTTATGTACTTGGAAATGCAGTAACTTATTGAAAAAGAAATGAAACAAATGGACAGAAAATAATGATTATCCCGGTGACAAGGTTCAAAACGAAAGCTTACAGACTAAAGGAAACGGTGTTTTGGATGATTAAAGCATCTTGCTTGCAGCACAAGTATTTTCCATGTCCTATTTGCCAACCGATTTTTAACCATTTGTGTCTTCTGTGTTTAAATTCTAGGACTTCTAGGAATGGTAGCCCACATGATGTACACACAAGTGTTCCAGGTAACAGTCAGCCTGGGACCCGAAGAATGGAGACCGCACTCATGGGACTATGGATGGTCGTTTTGGTATTAAGCCTCTTTTCTTTCATTCATTTCCACTTAGTGTGAGCTCTTCACAGCATCAGCAAAGTCCTCAGCCACGTCTTCTGCCCTGTCCCATTGTCGAAGGCTGCCACTTGTTTGTGCGAACAGATTTTATTTGCAGACCTTGAAAAACAATCGAGAGAATAATTCATGTTATTTAAGAGATGATCGCACAAATACCTCTTTAACAACATCAAAAACTAACCTTGGGTCCCTGCCCTGTGGGCTTGTTTCTTTCTAAAGTAATATGTGCCACAAGATTCGGCCAAACTGAATCAATACATTCTATTTGGGACGTCTCTTGAGATGTTCCTGTTAATGAGCCTGTAACTGTAGTCACGATAAAGAGTTCAGCTCTATCATGTGTTCAATTTACCCAAGTCAATGCAGGCTGCTGAGGGCTAGTGGCCAGTTCAGAAATAAGTTCCGCTTGTTGAAGATTGGTGTCCACAGGTGTCTGATCAAGGACTCAGAGGTGCCTTGGGTCTAAAACATCCGGTTCATTCCAGTCGCTTCAGTGGTCAAAGCCCACGGCAGATAGAATGGACGATTGCTAACCACAGAGCTTTTGCAACATGGTCCGATGAGAGGCTTTTGAAGCGCGATCAACGCAGCTGCAATCACAGCCTGATGTTTCACAGCTCAGCTGCACCAAATCATCGCTTGGTACCATACGACACGGCCCAGAGAGTTCAATTCGCTTAGCTATCATTCATGGAGTATGAGTCGCTGCAGAGGCTCGAGGTTAGGGAGACCTTGGTTTGTCACCAACCGCACATTCTTATTTCTACTTCCCTCTGACAGTAACAACAGACATCTATACTGTGTATCGGCAAATTCTTGCAGGAGATTAGGTTTGGTTTGCAGGGCAGACGGTGTCTCCATCATAGATACTGAGCTTATATTAGCTCCTAAAAGGCCTGATAACCAATGCGAACAAAAAGCCTTTGTTTCCCCAAGCGTAAATGATTGATCAGGAGTATTTATGCGCTGGCTACCGTACTAATACCGTATAAATAGACTGACTGATTTGATTTCCGTTTGCTATCTTTATAATCAGCATTTCTGGCTTTCCTTTGCTATTTTCTAAAGTGACTCTTGGGATGGATCAATATTTATTGTGAAGCAAATGCAAGATCTACACTTCCTACTAAAAGCGGTAGAGTTTTTCTGTGTATGAACGACTTCATTTGCCGACGAAAATTAATGGGAGGAACAGCGCCATATTGTTTAAAGAACTGGTTGCACAAAAAAACTCTTTAGTAACTTTTCAAAAACTATAGCTGGTTAGCAAAGAGCTTTGGCCATGAGTTGAGTCATGCATGTCCGGAGCTCTCCTCGTTCCCCATTGAGAGCAATTTGGAGTTTCCTGGTCTGAATTCCTCTTGTATTAGATGACATCAACAACAACAATTTCCATTTATATAACGCCCCTAGCTGGATCTTGCTTCCCCCGTGTGTTTCGAACATAAATCTGGATAGAAAGCATCGAGAGTATCTCCAGAGGGAGTGGGGTGGGGGATAATGTCATCCTGGACTGGATTTGAACCCAGATCACAAAGGGGAAATGTCAGTATGTCAGTCTCATGCACCACTGGATTCCCCTTAGGAGGATGAATCTTCATTTCATGTCACAAAATATTGAACAAGTTTAATGCCATTTTGCATCGAATAGTAATTCTGGATATAAAGCAGTTTCATCAGATATTTTATCTGGTATCTAATTCTGGTGAAAGATGAGAGTCCTCAAGGTAGCAGTGCTGAATAGATTACTTTGCCCATCGAACGTGGTCGAGGAAATCCCATTTGTCAGCTTGAATTACTGTCAACACTCCATTCAGTTTTATTACTGAGTGAGTGTTGCTTCATTTCATTATTGTCAATGACTGGATTTACACCTTGCCGCCATTCTCAGATTGCAATGAGTGATGAACATTTCCTGTATGTACACAAACCGGTACTTATTCCTCGGAGTACAGCTGCTGTGTTTTTAAATGTGTTCGACAAACATAAAGCGCAGTTTAAATGACGAAGCTGTCTTGCCCCGCTTAAGATGAGATGTTAAGCCAAGGCCTATTCAGATGGTGTTAAGATCCCACGGCCCTCTTGTTCTGGCCAACTATCTCCCAGATACCAGTCTCACTTCACTATATATTTTATACCAGATAAAATTGGTCATTCACTTCAGACTGGGACATTGCTATGCAAAAATTGGCTGCCGCATTCGCCTACAAATACGCAGTCACTACAAGTCGCACTAAATCACGAGAAGCACTTCAGACAATTGAACGACACGATAAGGCAAGGAGCAAAAATTTTAAATGACTAATCGAGAACTATTTTTCGTACCGCAGAGACTATCCGTACTGATTCCCAGCTGTAGACTACAGTGTGTTACATTGACCTCTCAAAGTATTGTGCTGTGTGAGATCTCGAGTCCGTTTAATTGTAACGATATCCTTTTTGGAATTAACTCTAATTAAAACTCAGTCTCACTTCACTATATGAAGGACTGTTACCCGTATCAGCATGTGCTCTGAGAAGCCAAATCAATGATGTTAAACACGTCAAGTAAAGGTCATCTCACTGATGCTGCAACAGACCAGTGCGGCAGCCTTCAAAGGGGGCAGTTAAGTAGAATAAGATGGTTTATTAGGGATTGTAAGGCAAATTATTAGAGATTGTAGCTCTCTCCAGACTGCTGAAGTTACAAAGTTATTGGCCTGTCATATATCCTTGACTTCCTGCCTCGATTTCGCCGAGCAAAAAAAATGTGCGTGCATTGCCAGATGATAGTTCCCGAAGATTACATTTACTTGGTTTCTATTTCCGTGCTATACTATTTTGGTGCAGCTGTGTGATCAACGAGATATTGCACTGCCTGTGGAGTAGTTCAGGCTGAGGTGCTGGTACCTTTCAGGTTGGATTCACGTGCTCTCCGTGTTGGGGGGTGTTGGAAGCTGAAATCGCTTTTACTGAGCGGTCTGAAAGGAGGGAGAAGGAGTTCCAATGTTTGCTCTCATGTGAAGCCCTCGCAATTTTTTGCACCTTTTCCAAGTTAGAGCCCACAAATGCGCTGTTCGGTTACAGCAGATTAGGCTGGTTATGTTTTGATGACTGCAACGCGCTCTCGACTTCGACACTTGCTGGTCCAAAACCGGGCTCATATATTCTGTTAAGTCCGTTGATGTCTTCCGACTTCTGGCTCTGCTCGCTTGTCGTTTTTTGTTCCGAGGGGAGTGCATGCGTCCGCTGTGGTTCAATCGCCTGACGGCGGGGTAGAGCGAATTGGGCAGCTTCGTTCAAGTAGCGACAGCACCAACCACCCAGGGTGGGCGAGATGCCAACTTACAGGTGGCTCAAATGCTGACGATCAAGATGTTCCGACCCAAGGACTCGAAATCCAAAGGGAAATATTTTCCGATCGATTTCAACCCAATTCTTACCCAGGTCACGGGACCAACCCACCGACAAATCGTTACACGTTTTCACTCAATTGGAGTCGACCTGTGTGTGGGGTTCCAGCGATCTAGTTTTTTCTGAGTCTGTTGTTGAGTCTGAAGGGCGCACTCGGACCTTAACGCATCTTCGTCGCTGCTGTCCCAGGGTACAAAGCCTTGGGACGTCCTCACGACGTGAAAGGCGCTACGCAAGTGTGTCATCGTCAGCGTTTTCGTTTTTTTTCCCTGGATGGAAAAAGCAGAGAAAAAAAAAGGATATAATAATCCTCGCGTTTGATCTAGCGCCTCGTCGTATCGTCGAGACATCTCAAAGCGCTTCGCGGAATGTCGACATCTTTCTCATTCTGTTCTCTTTCCGCGCAGCCTGGCCTGGGGATCGTTCACTTGTTGTATGGCTGCCTCGGTCACCACGCTGAACTCCTACACGAAAACCGTCATAGAGTTTCGGCACAAGCGCAAGATCTTCGAGCACAGCCTGAGGGAGGAACAGACCTACATCGACCGGGAGGCCATCAACTATTTTCGAGAGCGGTCGATCCAGTCGGTTTCCAGCTCGGTCGAAGTCTTTCCCGATCCATCCCCAAGCACGGCAAAATCACGGATGCCAGAGACCTCCGTGGACTTGGGTGAAATGTCAGAGATATTAAGAGAAGAACAGTGTTAAGGCCACTTCCATTAAAGCTCCATTTGATGTAGCTGTTCAGAGAAGCAATATATATTTGCCGCAAATCATGTTTGTGCCCTATCCATGTGCACACGGTGAAGGAGAGCCGGCAAGTTTAGACAGCGCTATGCCTTTTGTTATCGTGCGTAGGTGGCATTGATGTTCATGATTATCAGAGGGTCGGCAAAGCAAATTAGACGCGTGAAACGTGATGTGACGTAACATTTCTACGTTTTTAATAAGTTGCCAAATATTTTGTTAATGATGTGAAAATATCCATTTGACTTCCAAAACATGTGCGCACGTGATAATACATCGTAGAGCTGAAGGTTTCAGGTACCGGTGTTGTATCATCACTTGTTGCTTCACCATCTTCACAATACGGGTTAAAAATCAGGACCCAACTCCGTCCAAGCACTGGGAAGCAGAGGGGAATCTGGTTCATGTTGAATGAATGGAATTGGCAAGATTTAAGGGGCGGGAGGATCTTTGAAGCTTTAAAACATCAGAAGATAATGTACAAGAAAGCCTGGGTACAAGAAACACGGTATAGATGTGATTGCTAAATAGTGGGGACCCTTTGCGCACAGCAAAAGGGATACTGTCTCTTGCACATGCCATCCAACAGACTTTGGAAAGGTAGAAGAGGAAGTGAAAGTAATAACTGTCAGATTATATATAGCCGAGTTGTATTGAAATTTGTACAAATGACCGATTTTCTTTTCCCCCCCCTTTTGTTTTCTCATCGAATGATACAGTCCTGTGAAACGTTGAAGACAGTTTGTAAAGATTCTGAAACGCAATCCTAAATACTCGTTGCAAAGTCTAACGTCAGGGTTTGTGGCCGCGGTGAACCCAACCCCTTGATATACGTCACAGTTTGTGCTCATCTTACAGAATGTGTGATGTGCTGAAATCTCCCTTTATTCAAGACAAACCGAAGAGCTGCCACAAATCTGACCCCACTTGATATCCTCGTCCTGTAAGCGATATTCAAACCTATCTACGATTTAATGCCATTCGGAGGGAATTCTGTTTAGTATCTGTTGTCCAAGATGAATGCAAGAAAACCTTAAGTACGAGAAAAAGGGACACCTGCCATAAATTTTAAACCGCCATAAAAATGAGGTAATTTGGAAGAATTAAGTCGCTATTATGCAGGTGCATGATTGCTGTCACACGGGGCAAGATGTTTCACAGCAGAATGTAAAAAAAGAACAATTCTTATGGGTTCAAAGCCTAAAGCATACGTACTGATTCAGCAACAGATAGTTGAAGGATAAGCACATTTTAAAGTGGAAAATTGGGAGTGTCTTATTTCCCTTTAAAGTCAACAGGTTTGTCAAGTTTGTAACTGGTTAACATGCTAATGAATACCCAAACCACTCATCTCACAAACAGTGCAGCTGAAATCCTAAACTGAAAGGCTAACGCTGAATAGGCTTTCAAACAACATTTATGCCGCAGGCCGAAGCTGTTCCCGATTTAACCACAAACTACATAAATCCTTCTTGGCAGTGGCACATTTGTTCCATTTTCACTCGGATTTGTTTTGCATCTCGCACTTATTGTTGTGGAGAAAGCCAGACAGGAAATTCCACGCAAAATGAGGATTAATGGGACCTGGGATACCCGGTTCATTGCACAGAGTAACCAGTGTATGTATATATGAAACGTTATTGTTAAAATCATTTTCAAATTGCATATTTCACTGTGGTGTCAACGTGATTAATTGTGGCTATTTTTTAAAAGTTAAATAATAATAATAATAATAATGAGAGCATATATCAATGTTAAATAGCAGCAGCAGGTACTATATTATATTTTGTAATTATGAAAATAGTTTTTCTACACAATGGAGATAGGATTGTGTATTCCACTAAATTTATGAATTCAAGCTGTGGGATTCTATTTCTCAGGACTCCAGTTTGGCGATTGCCATTGAATAATATTTTCCAAAGAGGAAATTGGCGCGAATACGAATGTGATTGGAATGACATTCGCAACAGAAAGTCACACGAGGACAATTTGCAACGGGGTTAATTGTTATCAGCTTCCAAAGTGGAATACAAATGGCTTGAGAAATAGAACTCAACAGTCTTGAAGACATAATTATTGTTGATCAGCTAATTTAGCTACAGTTTATTCAGTTAAAAAAAAAGTGGCATATGGAACAAACATATTGAATGAATTGAATTCATTTTTCAGTAGATGCCTCTATTTGCGAGATTTTGTTTTTGGAAAATGGTGAAATTTTCTAGGGTAATGCCTTATTTATTACTCAGCCGCTTCTCTTTCAAGAATACCTCCTTTCGATTTTTAAAACTTGAAACGCGCATACGTTGTAGCTGTATTTTCATTAAAAATCCTCAAATAATCAGACATTTCGTTTGACGTGTAAAATATGTCACAGGCAAAAAAAAAAAAGCTTTATTGAATATGAACGCCAATTTTCAGGACAAAGCTGCGATCGGAGCCAGCACAAAAAAGAATTGCGACTTCCCGAATGTTGAATGTTTTGATGCTACTTTCAATATCTGCAGTTTGCACTCTGCAGTTAAAGGGATATGAGACTCAAAATACCATCCAGTCTTATCCTGTAACACAGGTTCGCCTTATAACTTAAGATTGGGCGGAATTGTGGAAAATGCTTACATTTAGTCTTAAGTTGGAAGCCAAGTCTATTTATGAAACGTAGAATAAACAACTTCTAAATTGAGTTTGGATGTAAGAATATTCCACAATTCTGAACAGTATTAAACACGAAGACAAAATAGACATACAGGCAAAGACTAGGTGGAATTTGGGGGCCAAGGGGAGTTAAAAAAGATTGATTGATACCGACGAAAAAGGGCTGGTTAGACCTGTTCTGTCTCGTGATGCCGTTGCTAACTTTTATTCTGCGCATTTCTAACAAGAATCATTGTTATTGGAGAAGATCCAGATAATAGAAATCTCATAAGAATCAACTCCTGTTGATAATTATTCTAAATAATTTGTTAATTATTTGTGGAAGACAAGTTTGCAGGACTGTGGGGAGAGAGAGGGGGGGGGAGTGGGATTGAATTGGGAAGCTCTTTTCAAAGAGCCGGTACAGACATGATGGGCCGAATGGCCTCCTTCTGCGCTGTATAATTCTATGATTCTGTGGTGTGTGGAGAAACAAAGACAATCACTTGTCCGTTGGTTCAGCATCATACTTACGAAGCAACACCTCAACCCTGTTTTAATTTTAATTCACTCCTCAAAGTGATAACAATATCAATGCAAAAGCACAGAAGACATTTCTTCAGTCAAAGAAAATATGGACTCAGAAAGCTGCTCATTGCTGAACCTTCAAAGGAAGAGAGAAAGACACTTGGGAAGGGAGGTTATTAAGGAATGGAGAAGGAAATAATATATCTATTATTATACATGATAAGGGAAAGGGAAATGAAGAGCCTGAAGTACATTATTATTCTTATTCTTCAAGCTATCCGACTGTTAAACACCAATAACAATGGAAGCAGGTGACTGTTTGTGGGGCGCTGCTGTGCGCAATTGGCTGTCGCGTTTCGCCCATAAAATATATCATCAATTCACTTTACAGTATATTCTGTGAAGTGCTTTGAGACTTCTCAATGATGTGATAAGGCCCTATATCAAATGCAAGGATTATTATTATTAAAAGGACAGGTCAGCCTTATCTGATGTCGTTCAGTGAATGAATGGTAGGAGTTGGACATGGAAGCAGTCGTCTATTCCCTTCCCCGCTGGACTGCTGCTGTCATTCTGCGAAAGCAATCTTTCAGCAACATAAGAAATGCTGAAAATACATTAACCCTGAGATGTGGCAGATTCTGCTTTCCATAAAACATTTGCTCTTCCAAACTGCCACGTGAAACTTTTAGTAACTAATATCACTTAGCAGCTTATAGATCGCAGACTGCATTAACACTCATCAATGCGTCTCTTCACATATTGTTCTTTCCAGCAAAAGAAAATGACAAATTTCATTCTGAAACAGCGATGCGTTGAAAGAGTTCTGAGAGATTAAGTGCTTGCTGTTGGACACATCAGTCATCAGCCAATATGCCAGTATTTTTGAACTCAATGCAGTGCCTTAAGGTTCAGGGCCTTAACTCTGACGTTATCTCATAACAGCTGTGGTCTCTCTTCTACTCAATTGTTCATGTAAAAAAAATAATAAAACCTGCCCGTTAAACCATCAATTTCAGTTAACAGGATTTAAAAAATGGTCTTTTTCATTAACAAGCCAGAACTTTCATTTTAGGTAGCACCCTTCATGCATGATAATGTCTCACAGCGCTGTTCAGCAACCTTGTAAATGTTCCTATTTATTATTTGTATAGATTTCCCGCATTTTGGAACTAATGATCCATCATCAAAAATGAGCGCTGTGATGTGTAGCAGATATTGTGACCCAGTGCAATTAAATTTACATCTATAGCTACAAATGTCTTATAGTGGAATGCAATAGGATCAATTTCCAGGCATTAGTACATGTTAGGTTGGAAACTAAATTACAAAAATACTTTCCCATCCATCATATGTATAATAGTGTTTAATCGAAATTCAAATGACGAAATGATAACAATTCTTGCATTTGATTTAATGCCTTTCGCAATGGGAGGACATCTCAAAGGGTAGTGACTGTATTCTGTCGGCAAATTAACCAGATGTCGGCGCCGTGTCCCCAAATGGCCGTGAAGTGAATGGCCAATTTTATTTCAGGGGATCGTTGGCCATGAAACCTGGGAGAAACATTCTCGCTTGTCGAATGACAGCACCTCTGACAAGGGAGCACGCCCCCAGCACTGCATTGGAGAGCGAGTGTCAGGCAAATTCAAATTCAAATTCAAAGTCTCGACGTGAGTGGCTTGAACCCACAGCCCCCTGATTCAGAGGTGAAAGCGCTACCGACTGAGCCAGGCTGACGTGTCACAGTATCACGAGTTCCTGAAGTTATGTTTTCTTAAAACATTCACGGGAAATGAACCCAAACCAATTTGCTTGAATCAAAATGTAAAATAAGCGAAAATAAGCCGATAAAAATATAAAACTGTTCTCCTCTGGCACTCAAGAGTTAAAGCAATAATCAGCACAATTTCTAAAGGAAATGAGGTCTGCATAATTAAATCATTTTAATCGCTTTGATTAGGCAGCTTGAATCTTAATTTTAATGCCTCTCGAGAGAGTAAGGCATGGGACTGACTTTCAAGCATTACTAAACAATTACGGAAACAGGACCGATTGATATTCAATTTGTTATTTTGATTTGCTGAAGGCAGACTGTTTTCAAGCTCGGTGTATCTCGGAGAACTCATTGGAGGTGACACAACGAAAGAGTTTGCTTTGCAGGTTACATTGGTTCCGCATTTGGCTCCGAATCAGGAATAAAAAGGAGCCATGTCTGTGGAATATTACATTTCTGCAAGGTGTCACAGTAAGCGATCGAGGAGAAAAAAATCATCAATTTTTTTTTCCAATTACACTTCGTATGCTTCGTGTGGCGTAATACTGGAAGATGGAACATTGTCGAATGGAGATGACAAATAACATAGTTTTTCTTACGACAGCGCTAAACAAAAAAAATGCCTTTAATGATACTCCGTAAATTCAAACGGCTAATAACTGAGACATGCTAGTATTGAAAATATCACCCTGATTTATGCAACTTTTTAGCTTCACTGTTTATATGTCTTTTAAACCTGTGTTGCCCTTTTAGAAAGGTTTTCAGAGATACACTGAGGGAGAATGCCTTAGAAATACGACAGCTCTGTTCGGTGCCCAACACTCAGCGTATGTTGTTGTACATCATGTTGTTTTATTCATGGAGAGTCATGCCTGGTCACTGGTACGGTATAAATCAAACAATCATGGTTATTTTGGGACTGTGAGCGAGAGAATGCTGCAAGATTCTGTAGCAAAGGCATTTATGGTGAGGATCTTATTGGGTTTCAAAGTACGCTCACTCAGGGTAGGAGTGCACACACTGCAAGCTATCTGGCACAGATGGTATGCCTCGCCATCTAAGGATCCAATTTAATGGTGTGCTACCAGAAAATCCCCTTCCCCAAGTATGCAATGCAAACCGCAGATAGAATAAAGTCGAGAGCAGTCAGTGTGTTCGTCTGCCAGATGATCACAATATGAAAGCTTGCCCAAGACTAAGCTTCTTTTTTGCTGTGTTTATCTGAACTCAGAACCAAATTCACTCTGAAATCCCTGATTAACTGATCGCATTGCTTCTTTTTCAGTTTCCTGACGTGAAAGGCGCTATACAAATGTAATCTTGTTATTGTTGGTGTTGTTGTTATCTTAGGCAATATGTCAGGACAGAAAGAAGTCCCACCTATAAACTCTATGACATGATTTCGCTTAGTACAGGAATCCCTATTGTAGAAGCCTCCATCGGAAGTTTGAATGAAAAACTCCCCCGCTCTTACCCCATAGCCCTGCAAACCTTTTTTTCCTTTTCAAGCACAGATCCAATTCCAGTTTGAAAGTGAGTATCGAATTTTCAGACAGTGCATTCCAGATCATAGCAACTCTCTAGGTAAAACAAATTCTTCTCGACTTCCCTCTTGTTCTTTGGCTGTTTCCAAAGGTACTGATCTAATAATAGTTTACATCAGTGCCACAAAGGCAACACGGTACATAAATATTGAATCACTGCCAGTAGCCCGATATGCATTATGCCAACCGCTGGGAATTATGTTCCAATGCAATCTCCTTCAGTGTCAACCGGAGTAGATATGGTTTGTCATGATGCATATCCAACTCTCACAGCAATTGATGTGTACACCCTGAGGCAAATTCTGCATTTTTTCGTTTCCCAAGACTTTAGAATAAAATCATAAAAGCTCATCATCATAATAATAATCCCTGCATCTGATACAGCGCTTTATCACGTCTTCGAGACGTCTCAAAGCGCTTCACAGATTATACTGTCAAGTGCTTTGACTGTGTATTTTGTGGGCGAAACAATACGGCAGCAATTTGCCGCACAGCAGCGTCCCACAAACAGTCAAGGAATAAGTGACCAAATTATTATATTTTTATTGATTGTTTATTTTTTTTTGAAGGGGTTATTACACCCGGGTTCCTACTTACTTAGGTAAACGGAAGTGGTGGAGTAAGGAAACTTGCCTACTGACGTGAAAGGCGCTATGCGAATGTAATGCTCTTGTTGTTGTTGTTGCGTTGTTGTTGTCCTGCCCGGGAATCGAAACCAGGTCCTCTCATTTGCATTGCAAGTGCAGGAAAACGTATTCCATCTCATCAGCAACAGGTTTGTGAGTGGATCGAAATCGAGATCAAATGTGGAAATTTTAAGATCCTTTCCTGGCGTTTCCTCCAAATTGCTCATTTCAGATTTG